AAAAAAAAAAAAAAAAAAAAAAAAAAAAAAAAAAAAACCAGCGATGCACACTTGCTTTCCTTTCTTCATAAAATTAATTGGGAAAAACGAGGAAAGAATATTTCTGTTTTCTGCAATGAGTCAATGATTCCTGCACCTTTTTATATACCAAGGGTATATTTCACTCGATAACACATTAAAAGTTCATAGAATGGAGAAATTTTATTTCTTTCAACAAAAGTTTTTCCATTGAAATCAAATTCTTTTCACAATTGGATAAAACTCTCTACTTTTTCCTTTTTTCCTTCCATTAATTTTTAGAAAATTTTCTCTCCCTAAATATTTATTTCTTATAGCTCAAAATCTCCCTTCTTTAGATGCTGTATTCATCGTTAAAACGGCTAGTTAATTTCAAGGTTAACATTAGCTAAATTTCCATTACAAAAAATATAACATTTAGTGACATAAAAAATATCACTATAAATATAATATATGTAAGTATATATTTATTTGATAACATACAATTTAAGTGTTGATTTTGAATGTGATTTAACAACATATTTTGCATATTACTATAACTTATACCAACATATATTGTATTTAATGTGTGGATAAAAATATTTTTTAGTAATACGTATTGTGTCACTATAGGACATGTATTACTATACACTACATTAAAATAGACTTTTAGTGACATTTAATATGAATTTTAGTGGTAATAAAAATTGCTACAAAATCTTTTACCGACATTTCTACAATAGCCATTGTATGCAGTGTTAACGACAATTACTTTGAATGTTATATATTCTTTAATTTCCTTATTTTTGTAATTGTCTTAACCGATGTGAGATTTGAATTTTTCCCAATACATCCCCTCAAGTTTAGGGGCTATTGAGTTTGGTAATGGTGAATAATGGTCTAACTCAACCCTATAAAACAAACTTGTAAGGTGAGAGTTAGCATCCATTTATATATTCTTTAATTATCTTATTTCTAGTCGACGTGAGACTTAAGTTTTTCACAATAAATAATTATCGCTAATAGTAAATTTTGGTGTGATACAAATATATTTTTAGTGACCATTATATATTAATTAGTCATTAATATTTTTATTAAATAATAAAATAAAGGCAATTAATTTATTGTCATTAAATAATTATCACTAATAATAAATTTTGTTGTAGTGATATGACAATTTTCTTGTATATATATATATATATATGAGAGAGAACTATATTACAGAAGTTTGTTCAATAACTCATGTTTTACATTAAATTTTAATCATCTAACCGTTAAATTTAAAGTTTTTAATACATCAATTAAGTTTGCAAAATTTTAAGAAATTTGAAAATCATTTAATAATTCATTTTATTATTTTAATCCTTATACTCAAATTTTGTTAGAAAAATTTGTCAAATATTATTGCATAAAATTTACTTACTAATATCCTTGTCAGTCAAAACATCACACTAAATTCAATTGATATTTGTTATAATTGATATATGTTATTAGTGATATGAAGGATTAAAACAAAATTTTTATGAATTACATAAATTAAAATAAAAAATTTAAATTTGAGGACAAAAATAAATTTACTTTTAAATTTAAGAAACTAAAAACATATTTAAACCTATATTATATATGACTTTATTAATTTTATGACCTAATACTTTAATAGGGTATAATATATTTTAAATAAACCTAAAATATATAAAAACTTTTATTCTGTTTATTAAGAATTATTAATACTTTTAATTAAATTACTGTATAAACCAACAAATTTTTCAGATATGATAATTTATAATTTAATAACAAAGTTCACATTATTCACGTGTCAATACATATATACTATTTACCCTTAATAATATATAAATGTTTTGAATATTATATATCAACGTGAAAATATATAAGCTTTCGAATGTTTGAACTTATCTGCAGTTGGTTATCGTCGGTGGTGTGGTAATGCCATGCTACAGCCATCAATATTTTGGTCTTCGAATATAGATCAAGGGGTGAATTATTAAAACAAAAATGGGATAATTTTGACATTTTATAAGGTTTTTTATTGCGATAAAAAAATTGGTGCAGGAAATAATAAAATTTAAATATTATCTGTTTAATCTGTTCCACAATCATTTATATAATTAAACATAAAATAAATGTAATAATTTCCTGGTGTCTTAAACAAATTAAACCTACCTTATAGGGTTGTACTGTATAGTGAGCAACGGCCTTCTTCCTTATGAATTTTTTTTTTAATATATTTTGATGTAAATGATTTTGTTAATAATTTTCTCTAATGATTCTCAAAATCATCGGTTTAACACAGTACATTTTATTATTATTATTATTATTATTATTTTCTTTTAATAATTATTTGTGGTGGTAATTTTGTTGTTTATTATTGAAGAACTCTAAAAATTAAGGAATTCTTGTGAGTTTAGATGATTTTGAGGTTTTTTTACCATAGGTTCAATTTGACCTTGTGGGAACACATAAAGTTTTTTTTTATTTTAATATTTGAGTTTCATAAACTCATTTATCAGATAATCTTAAAGAGAAACTAGAGAAAGAAACTCTAGGATTTGAAGTCTTCCTTCTTTCTAGCCTTCATGAGTGTGTAGAAGATTGTAATTGAGCAGCTGAGCTTGGAATCAAACCCCGTTGTGTAGGTGAAGAGCTTTCAGGCTGCTAAAACCTCCTCTTGCTGCTATTGCTGATTTGAATTTGTGTATGGTGCATTTTGGAAGTTTCAGTGTTCTTTTGGTATGATTGAGATAAAATGCATGATTTTGATGCCATATTGTTGTTGCATGTGTATTTTCTAGTTGGATTCGAGTTACTTATGATGTGTATGAATGCATTAGTGCCTTGCATGTGGATTTGTCTAAGTTTCAGGTACAAATTAGTCAATTCGTGAATTTGTCAAGTGTAGAATTCACCATTGTGTTAGGCATGCCTTCATGGTGCCAACCAAGGCTCAAATCATGGGCCCTCTATCTCACTATGTCAAGCACAAGATTAGTGGCACTAGGCTAAGGAGAGAGAAAAACCTCTAACTTGGTTACACTAGATGTGGGTTGATTGGTGTTAAGCATGAGGTGAGAGAATTGTTTTTGACTTAGTGATGCTGAACCTCGGGTTGTGTGGCGTCCAACATGACCAAGATAGAGCTTTCTACCAAATTGGTGTCGGGCGCCAATGCAGTGACATCAAACGTGAAGAGAAAGAATCGTCTCTACTTGAATTGGGTTCGATGTGAGTTTAGCCACACTAGGTGTGATTGTCCCAAAGGATCTCTGATCTCTTCCGCACCAAGTGCAGGTTGAATGGTGTCGAGCATAGGCAAGATAGAAAACTCCCTTTTTTGATGACGCCAAGTGCAAGATGGATGATGCCAAGCATCAGTTTCTTTATGAAAACTTGTTGTTTGATTGAGAAAATGGTGAACGTGAGTAGGTTAGTTGAATTTATTACATGTTGTATGTTGATATATGTCGTTAGTTCCTTATACATTGATTTGGGATAATATATATTGATGATTAAAATGTTGTATGTTGTTCAATGGTATTGGTTCTATATACATTGATCTAGGATAATGTATGTAGATCAAGGCATTTAGGTATCATGGTGTATTATGTTGATCAACTTAAGATTAGAGGAGATGGGGTTTTAGAAAGTTAGACATCCCATTGTGAGGATATTGGTGTGGTGTTCTACAAGCCCAATTATATTGAAAATCTTTTTTGAGTAGTTAATTTTAGAAATGGATAGTTGAGTCTTCTCTAGGATATCATTTGATGCGATATGTGGGTCAAGTTGAGGCATACTGGCTATAAGTGACCAATGTTGAGTCATGTATGGTCAAGGTCGGGACATACATGTATAAAGTGACCAATCGAGTAAGGTACAAGATCGATGGCTTAGTCCCTAATTAGGTGACGACATCCGAGAAATCATGTTAGGAATTAATATTCCAATTGGCTATTAATCTAGCATGTAGTTGTGCAT